GGACCCTAAGTCTCAAACCAAACACCCCTACACCCGGAATCCCAAAAGCGCTGAACGGAACGGTTTAGGGTTTAGGGTTTAGGGTTTAGGGTTTAGGGTTTAGGGTTTAGGGTTTAGAGGAACCCTAGAAACAATACTAAGGGCTGTTGAGGTGTTAGAGGTTGATTCGAGCCTTAGCGTCTTAGGACTTACTGACTACAATAGGGTGTTGGGTTTAGAGTCCTTTAAGCCCAGTACCCTGGCCCAAAAAAATTTAAACTTTTCTTTCAGTAGGGGGTTTAATATACCAAAAAATGTACAGTTTAACTACTGGACTCCTAAGGAGTTTAGGGTTTAGGGATTAGGGTTTACCAATTATTCAGTAGTCGGGTGCACACCCTTTGCGCCTGAGCGTCGGCTTCCAACCTCCCAAGATTCGACAAACCCTTACCGGGAACGGGCGAAGAATTGACAAACTGTTTCTGCCAACGGGGGAAGTGCTGCATTCTGACATGGGTAATAAGGTACACCATAATTCCCATATTTGGGGCCTTGAGGTAATGCAGAATTTATATGCAGAATTTAGATCATGGGAAAAGGTTTCTGCAAGGGTATTTACAAGGTGGGTGCGCGGGCTTTACAGGGGGTTCTGTTTCAGGGTGCTTCAAATCATCGCAGGGCTTCTAGTTCAACCAGGGTACACGTGTCGGTACGTTATTTCAGACGTGGGCTCTCTGTTTAAGTAGCCTAAGAGGTTTGGGGTTTAGGGTTTAGGGTTTAGGGTTAAAGGAAGACCGAATATTTACTATAGATCCCTGCTATGGTCACTTAAGATCAGCTCCCTAACAAGAGCCCTGGCTCTTCAGCTGGTTCTGCTCTTCGGGTGTGGATCTGTCAGGATTTGCTTTCGGAGTTGCAGTGAGCGGGCCGGTGGCGAGGCCTCCAATCATTTGCTTGGAGGAACACGACCGACGGTATAAGAACCCCACCAAAAACACGGAGAAGCTCGAATACCTTGGCCATAAACTCTAAAAACCCTACAAAGCCCTATACAACATCGTAAAGAAAACTGCAAAAATCCGTATAAACCGCATAAGACCCTAAACCCTAAACCCTAAACCCCTAAACCCTAAACCCTAAACCCTAAGCCGTATAAACTATATAAAGCCCGTGTAGAACTCCTACAAAAAGCCCTGTCGAAGGGCCTACACTCGGGGAAGGCTCCGAAGCGGGAGGCGCCTGGAGAGAGGGCGGGTTTAGGTTTTAGGGTTTAGGGTTTAGGGTTTAGGGTTTAGGGTTTAGGGTTCTATAAGAGCTTCTGTGAAAGGGTTTTGGGTTCAGGTGTTGGGTTTCTCGTTTTAGGATTTGCCTGCACCCTCTCAGACTGCAATTTGCGGGATCCAAGAATTTCGGGCTTGAGGCTGTAATAAAAGGGCCTTAATCATTAGAATCTGGTTTTCGGGCCCCAGTATACTATACTTCACAATAAGGAACCTCTGAAAATAATATAGGTAATTATTCAGGCCCCTAGATTGGGGTCTAAGCTCTGGGGTTTGCAG